TTTGCCTTATACTCCTCAGGGGCTTTGGGATGTGCGGAGTTCGGGTTAAGTGGGGGCTGGGTTTCAGGGATCTCTGGACAGCCATACCCAGTAGGGAAGAGACAACACAAGCCCCCCATCCATGTGTGTGTGTGTGTGATAACTACGCTAACTCACGAGAACTAGGACTTGCCCTGTCTTTATTGGATGCAGGGGTCTAAAAAGTCGAAGCCTGGTTCCTCCCTTCCCAAGGGATGATGTGTTCAACGATCCGTCGAGAGTTATCAATTCCACACGTATCTTGCTGCATTCGGGGTGGAAGGGGCCAACGCGCCGCGAAGCATAACCTATATCCTGACGTTTGTCTTGCTGGGTCTTCACTTCTAGTGGGAATGAAAGCCGTGAGTTTCACTAAGAGTTCGTCGCCATTTGTCGTGTATCTTGGCGTTTGTAGGTTGTTGCTGTCTTGTCGATGACGCGACCTGACACAGGACCCGAGTTGCGAAGTCTAAACCCTAAACTTAGACCCTCCAGGCAGAGCCCTTTCCACCAGCCAGGACGATTGCGAAATGCGCTCGGGCGAAGGTGCCGGCCCGCGCCGGGGCATTGACTAGCTTGACAGGGTTGGTGAGTTTGTAGGTTTGCTATAGGGATTTTACATTGTAGGGGCCTAAATACTTACCACTATACTATTTTGGGGGGTTCCTTATTATAACTACATTATAACATGCCCCCAAACCCTATTCTAATCATAAAGGCCTCTATTAGGGCTCTTATATGGTTTTTTACAGTGTCGCCCTACTTTTTGAGACTCCCCAGTGTTCCCGGGGATGAATGTCAGCACAACGACTGCCAAGGATGAGGGGCGCTGCCCCACTGGGCGGTTGGCACAGCCGCGTGGCAGAAGAGATTACGGGTGTCTGGTTTTAGGTGGTTTTGGATTGCGGTGCTAGCAGTGCTAACAGTACAGCGGAGTGTTCACAGAGTTTGGGGGAATCGATTCGCTTTGCAAAGCTTACACGCTGAGAAGTACATGGCGAGCAAATCCACGCGCCGAAACCCTAAGCCGAAACCCAAAAGCCCCGTCTCCGCCGTGCCTCCCGAACGAAAAGCGGCGAAGCTGAAACGCCGAGGCGTGATCCGGAGATACGACCACGACCTGGCAGACTTCGCTCAGAGGAGCGAGCAGTGGTGGGGCTATCTGGCGCCTCGCCCATGCCGTTCATGCTTTTTGGTTTTGGCTTCGGTTTGAGTTTACAGTATGACTCGGGGCTGACGGGTTTGAGTTTAGGGATTTTTGGCCCCATCCTGAAATCATAGAAGCAGAGAGAAGCACATTGGGTCGCTGACCAACTGCACCTACCAGGATAGGGGGATTTTAGACCAGGGTGGGTGGGACTGGAGTTTAGGCGAGCTTAGGGCTTAGGGCTGAGATTGAAGGTTCCCGCATCTTTTTGCAACTGCGTCCGTGGGCACGGTCAGCTGTGCCTTGACCGTAGTGTTTGGTGACACTGCAGATTCATTCCTTCCAGAGATCTGCGACCTCAAGCCGAAACCTTGAAGCCAAACCTCAAACCTTGAATCCAGACTCCAGAATGCAATCATCAAATCCTTAATCACTAAAACCCTAAACCCTAAGCCGAACTCCACCCTTTAACTTTCGTAAAGCTTTAACACCTGCCTTTTCCTGAAGCCTGAGCCCTGAAACCGGCTCGACTTAAACATACCTGAACTATAAAAATCCTGAGCCCTGACAGTCCCCTTCAAACCGCACGCAGCCGCTCCGGTCAGGTGAAACAGGCCATCGCACCCGTGGTGGTGACGGAGTTTGGCATGGCCCACGACTTCCGCAGCAGCAGCTTGCAGAGCAGCTCAAGTTCAGGGTTCAGGGCTTAGGAAGCTTGGCTCACATGGAATGCTTGCTGCAAAGTCGCAGTTCCCTTCGTATGCATGTAGTATAATCTCACTCTGAACCCTATTGAAACTATGAAGGCCCACGTACTGCGTAGAATCTGTTTGTGCAGTCCGCTCAAGAGGATTGTGAATGTGCCGGCATCGCGGGCATCAAGATACCTTGACCCGGCAACTCGAACCCTACTACCGGGGTCGGACTCTTTATTCCTTGGAGTTCCTGTGTGGGAGTTTCCGAAAACACCGGTTACCTTAGTTTTGGGGTCCTTGTGATAAGGATCCTACTATTTAGGGCATTATATTAGGGTCCCCTGTTTTCGGAACCCCCCATGTCATTAGCTGATAGCTGTGGAACCCAGGGTTGCCTAACTTGAAGGATAAGCCACGAGCTCAAGAGCCCTGGCATCGTCAATATCCCGGGGAAGCGAACCTTGCTCCCCGAAAGCCCCGACGGAAGAGACACCCCAATCCCCAAAACCCCAACAACACTAAGCATCAATGGCAGTGTCTTCTTGAGGAGCAGAAGGGGAATTTCGAACGGACGTAGGGTGTTTTTGGGGTCTCTACGAGGTTTTACAAGTTAGACGAGGTCTATCGGGTTTGATTAGGGCTCTACAGGTGTATACAGGTTTTGTATGTACTACTTAGTTTAGTGTTTTCGGGTTAAGACATGAAAGGTTTCAGGCTTCACTCGGATGGACCTCGGTTGGAGAGTGGACTGCCCCCGGCGTGGATGCCAGAGCGATGCTGACAATGGCGCCCATAGTGATGAAAGTAAACGTTGGTAGTCGGTTGTCCGTTTCACTTCTGAAATCTTAGCACCCCAAGTCCTAAAGCAACCACCACCATCACCGCTTCCACCATCGAACCATCACCACTATTATCATCATGATCATCGTCACCGAATCATCACCATCTTCTTCTTCATCACCATCATCACCATCATCAACGGCTGCATCGTCATCGTCATCATCATTATCGTCATCAACACCTTCATCATCTTCATCATCATCACCTTCTTCATCTTCATCGTTCTTGCCCTGGTCATCGTGAGCCCTTCACCCTAACCCATGTTAACCGACTGTGGAATTTAGGCCCCGACGTGGCCCAGTGGTGGGAGAAGCTGTCCGGATACTTGACCAAGGCGCAGTTTTTGGTGTCTGGCGGCTGAGGCTTGATTTCGAGAATATTCGGAGTGTTTGGGCATAGAGGCCTTTTACATCTTCTGCAGGGCTTCAGGTGTAGGGCCCAGGGTTGAGGTGGACTCGACTGTTATTCCAAGTGTTGCTGCTAGTATTGTTGTAGGTTTGTTGAGGCGTGCGGTGGATACTGCCGTTGCCAGGCTTCTTTTCCCTACCTTGTGATCGCTACACCGTTGCAGTTCTTGCTGGTTCTTGCTGTATGACCGAGACGTCGACGACTACTTCCATAGCAGCGTTTCTGCTGCTTCGAACCCTTTGCCTGCTGCCTGCATGTCGGTGATTGTGAGTCCCCTTGTTGCTACTGGTCTACGACCAAGGCGGCAGTGCCACTACTTCTCCAAGCTATCTGGTTGGGCATTTTGCAGTGGCGGTCCCAAGGCTTAGTGATTCGGATGGACCGGTCTTAGCAGCATAGGCCATCGTGTTCAGCAGACGGTTCAACCCATTCCCATCCACTCCCTGAAAGACCCTAGATAACCCCCGCCAAAACCATTGTGCAACCCCCTCTAGCCCCTGGATGCCGTAAATCCCCTAGATCCCAATACATGTGCTATTAAAGCCGCCCGTGCCTCGGTCTACGCAGGACGGGCCGCTGGCCGACGAGGGAGGCGGCCCACGTGTTCAGGGACGGGGCCGTGCAGGTCTGTGTTCATTATACACAAAACGCGGGTTTGAGCAATGATTGCAGAAAGTGGTTTTCCCGCCTTGTTCCTATTAGCTGACACGATAACATGCCCGCACACACTGTTCTAAGTATGACGACCAGGGAGGCCACGGGTTAGGTGCCTGGATTGCGCGGACTTATTTTGAGCTCGAGGATTCGACTGCCAGCTTTCGGTGTGTAGCAACACCCCCCGCAAACGCAACCGCAACCAAAAGCACAAGCGCAACAACTGACAATAACAAGGCCAACGATATAGTACAGCTGCTACTGCTACTGCTGCTACCACTGCGGCTGCTACTGCTACTGCCACTACTATTTCTACAACAGCTACTGCTACTGCTACTAAGGCTACTAGTGCTGTTGCTACTGCTGCTGCTGCGACTGCGACTCCTACTCAACTACTGCTACTGCTACCGCTACGACTACTGCTCCTACTCCCACCACCACCATGCTACTGCCACGGCTGCTGCTACTGGTACTGGTGCTTCTACTGCTACTGCTACTACCACCACCGCCACCGCCACCGCAACCGCCACCGCCACCACCACCACCACCACCACCACCACCACCACCACCACCACAACTGCCACTGCCACTGCCACTGGAGCAACCACTGCTGTTGCGACGGCTACGAACTGCTACAGCTACTACTACTACTACTACTACTCCCTACTACTACTACTACTACTACTACTACTGCTACTGCTACTACTGCTACTACTACAACAACAACAACAACTACTACTACTACTACTGCTACTGCTACTACTACTACTACCGCTACTGCTGCTGCTACGACGACGACGACGACGACACTACTACTACTACTACTACTACTACTACTACTACTGCTACTACTACTGCTACTACCACCACTACTACTACTACTACTACTACTACTACTACTGCTACTACTCGTACGACCTACTACTACTACTAATACTGCTACTACTACTACTACTACTACTACCACCACT